CCGAAGTCGTACTCTCGTTTCTTCGAGCGAAGGTGGGAGAGTTACAAACTCGAACTTTCGGACAAACACGGCACGGTACAAAAGGCGCAGCTTTTTCGGTCTTCACTTTACTCCCAACAAGCAACACCAAGAAGCCAAACAACAAGCAATGACTCGTACTACGTTCCTCCTGCTGATGGTCGCCTTCGCTCTGTACCTATCGCAGCCGGCCCACAGCGCTGGCGGAGGCGGGTGGCCCAACTGGGGCAACGGCATCAGCAACAACCACCGCGCAGTCGATGAGACCTGCATCCGCCAGTCGAATGTGCACCAGCTGACGCCTAAGTGGAAGCTCGACGTGCCCTCGGACGTCACCGCGGTGCCCACCGTGTCGGCCGACGGCCGCTGGGTCTACTTCCCCGACTGGAACGGCAACGTGTGGTGCGTGTCGGCTGCCACCGGGGCCGTGCGGTGGAGCGTGCGGCTCGACGCCATCACTGACATTGTGGGCACCATCGACAACGCCACTGGCATCAGCTCGGGCTCACTGTCGCGCAACTCTCCGGCCCTGTGGGAGGACCTCGTCCTGCTGGGCGACATGGCCTCAGGCTGGTTCTTCGGGCTCAACGCCACCGACGGCCAACTGGTATGGCGCACACTGCTCGATCCGCATCCGAACGCAGTGATCACCATGTCGGCCACCGTGCACCGCGACCGGGTGCTGGTGGGCGTCTCGAGCACCGAGAACCAGTTCGGCGCCGTGCCCGAGTTCCCGTGCTGCACGTTCAGGGGCTCGTTTGCGGCGCTCGACGCCCGGTCGGGCCGCGTCGAGTGGCAAACCTACATGACGCCAGCCAACTACTCGGGCGCGCCGGTGTGGGGCTCGAGCCCCTCGGTTGACGACCAGCTCGGGCTGGTCTACGTCGGTACGGGCAACAACTACCGCGAGACCGCCGACATACGGGCCTGTCGCGAGCAGGGCACGCCGCCGGGCCAGTGCCTGGTCAACCCCCACAACCACGTTGACTCGATTGTGGCAATGCGCCTAACCGACGGCGCCGTGGCCTGGGCCAGGTCCTTCGCGCCCGGCGACTACCTCGACGACGCCTACAACCTCGGTTGCAACCCCAACTACTTCCCGGCCAACTACTCGGCCACGCCCAACTCCAACTGCCCGGCGGTGCCCGGCGCCGACGCCGACTTCGGCCAGGCGCCGATGCTGATCGCCTACGAAGTGACCAACGACCGCGGCCGGCGCGAGACCCGCAGGCTGGTCACCGCGGGCCAAAAGAACGGAATGATGGTGGCCCTGAACCCTGCCACCGGCGCGCTGGCCTGGGCGCGCAAGGCCGGCCCCGCCGGGCTCAACGGCGGCGCGCAGTGGGGTGCGGCCTTCGACGGCCAGCGGATCGTGGTTGCCATCACCAACTCCAACTTCGCCGAAGTCCAGGGCCTGGTACCTTCGGGCGGCTCGACCTACGGCGGACTGTGGACGGCGCTGGACCCTGCCGACGGGTCGATCGTGTGGCAGACGGCGGTGCCCGAGGGCCAGGCCGCCAACTCGAGCGTCGCGGCGGCGAGGGGCGCCACGGCGTACTCGGCAGTGACGGCGGCCAACGGAGTGTTCCTCGTCGGGTCGAGCACCAAGTCGTTGGGGGCGTCGAACTACTTCGCGCTGCAGGCGGACACGGGGCGCATCCTGTGGGACTACGCGCCGGGCGGCTCTGCCGTGAGCGGACCGTCGGTCGTGTCGGGCTCGGTCTACTGGGGCTGCGGCTACGCGCGCATTGGGAGGGGCTGCAAGACCTTCTACGCCTTCTCCGTCCCCTCGTGCTGATGCTCAACCATCTTTACGTGAGCAAATGCACCCAATACTTTATTCATCTTATTGGCTGGGGGTTTAGTCTTTGGGGTCACAAAGCAAGTGAGCCATGTGAGGCTTCTTCAAGGCACCACAATAAACAGACACAACCAAGTTGACTCTCTGTCTGCAGAGAAATCACAACATTCCAAATTCAATGGAGTTGTTTGGGTCAACACACTCATCTTGGTTGAGGCATCAGATGATCAACATGACAGATAAACTTTACAAAGATACACTCCACGCAACACTGGAGATCAAAAACGAACCAACATCAATAAGTTATCACAAATACCCAATATTTCACTAAAAATTTGTGCATATTTCCAATCTGACGTGCAAAAGATTGGCATTGTGTACAGTATCCTTGGGGTGATGAAGGAACCTGAGGATATCGGTGCCCACTTTGAACGAAGTGGTGGCGCAGTGGTGGAAGAGGCGACCGAGGGTGCGGTAGCAGAGGGGCGAGAAGAGCGCGGACGTCGCGTAGCGGTGGTGACAGGTGCGACCAGCGGCATCGGCCTGGAGACCGCCCGTGCACTCTACCAGCGCGGCTACCACGTCGTCCTCGGTAGCACCCCACCAAGAAGATTTCCCTGTAATTCATATTGTTCTTTGTTTTATATTCTTATTATTTACTTTTTTTCATTCAATATGGAGCATGTCGCGATACGGCCAAGTGCGGGAAGGTGGTCGAGGAGTTGGCGGCTGAGGGAGAACAAGCAGTGTCCCCCGGTTCGGCCGAATGCATGGTACGCGTCGCGTTCTACCAGTTCCCCGTGCGCATTGGACTCACCCGTGTTGTGTGCAATGTGTGCGGGTTGTGTCGCTGGCCGTGTTGCGTTGTATGCGCGTGCGATGGTCAACAAAACAACAGTCGGTGGACCTCACCTCCCTCCAATCAGTGCGCGACTTCGCCGAGGAGTTCAAGCAGAAGCGCCAACCGCTCCACCTCCTCATCAACAACGCGGGGATCTACAGCCCGCCGTACGGCGAGACCAAGGACGGCTTCGAGTCCCAGTTCGGCGTCAACTACCTCTCCCACTTTCTGCTCACCGTACCCACACCTCCTTGCTGCGCTCGTGGTGTCGTGGGTGTCGTGCGTGTCGTGTTAACATGATGTGGCTGCAGCACTTGCTTTTGGATAAGCTGAAGGAATCGGCGCCTGCGAGGATCATCAATGTCTCCTCGCGCGCGCACACCATGGGTACGTGGCCATGCACTTCGTGTGTCTGCGTGCGGCTCAGTGTGACTGACGCCAAGCGTCCGCTGTGTGCAGCCAATCTGGACTTTGACAATTTGCAGAGCAAGCGGAACTACAGCCGCTACACGGCCTATTCGCGGTCCAAGCTCGCCCAGGTGCTCCACGCCAACAAACTACAGCGCCGCCTCGAAGGTACGCTCCACGCCACACACACACACACACTCGCTACGTGGCTACACTGCGCGTGCATCATGTGTTGTATTGTCGTGTGCGTGTCGTATCGTTCCATGTGACCGCAGGGAGCGGAGTGACGATCTGCGCGCTCCATCCGGGCGTGGTGAACACGTCCCTGTGGCGCGACCTCCCCGGCCCGCTCAAGTACATCGCCTACGGCCTGGGCTCCGTCTTCTTCAAGACGCCCGCCCAAGGCGCCGGTACTCCCCTCGCCTCAGTCTTCCAACGCAATGCCTGGTGGCTCACCACACGCATAAAAGAGACCACGATCTGGGCGGCCACGGCGGACGAACTCGAGGGCGTCGGCGGCAAGTACTACTCCGACTGTCGCGAAATCCCCTCATCAGCCCAGGTACTCTATCTCGCATGTGTCGTGTCGTCGCGTTGGGCCAACACTTTGCGTGCGCCTTCCCTCCGGCCACAGTCGCGCGACATTGAGGCGCAGGACAAGCTGTGGCGAGCCTCGCTGGAGCTGGTCGGACTGCCCGCGGAAGAAGATGAGACTGAGGCCGAGAAGAAAGAGGAGGATACCACCCACTAGTGCCCTTCATCAGGCCTTTTGCAGCATGCTAGGAAAAACAAGGGAGATCAAACTGGGAGTTGGAGATCCATCCCTCCGAACAAGGACCAACCAGGTCAATGGGTGGGTGTATCTGGCCTCCATCTGCGTCAGTTCTCCTCTCCGGCGCCTTTGCTGCCTGCGGTGGAGACCAGAGGCGCCTCCATGGCGGCCAGGCAGCGCTTGTGGTTGATTGTACAAAAACAAAAAGAGATAGCCGACCGTGGGGCTCGAACCCACGACCACAAGATTAAGAGTCTTGCGCTCTACCGACTGAGCTAGGACGGCTTCGCGTCTGTTTACTGTCTCCAAACGTGCCAGGTCGAGAGGCGGAGGGAAGAAGCAAAAAAGGAGGATACGGCACGGTGGATTCCCGGGTGGTCGCCCACCCCAGTACTAACACCGCCTGGCGCAGCTTAACTTCGCTGTTCAGATGGGAAGCGGTGCTTTCTGCGCAGTATGGCCGTATCCAATACCAACCAACAGCCACACACTCTCCACAGCCACCAGATGGAGACTTTCTTTGTCGTTTGTTACAGTGCGGTCTGACTTTGTCTGCACGAGTGCAACATAGGATCAACACTGAATCAATGTGGTTGCAGTGCCTCTACAAGACAAACCACCTGCAAGACGAAGCTGAACATAGCCCAGCCTTTGCTTGGCTAGGAGGTATGCATAGGCACAACAAAGGGGGCTGGAAGATGTGCCAACTCTGCAAAAAAAAACAACAAAAAACAAAAAAAAGAGGATATGGTGCAGTGTATTCTGGGGGATCGCACAATCACAATCAGGGAACTGTTGGTTGTTCTTAAGGACAAGTACAGAACTTCCCACAACCTGGCTTGGCCTTCATGAATGCTTAATCCTTTCTCAGCTTCCTGGCCATAAGCATTAAGCTCGCCTCGGTGATGGCCTCGCTCGCACGGCGGCCAGCCTGCATCTCCTTCGGCTCCACTGCATTTGAGTCGAAGCCGTGGTGGCCGGTGACGGCGGACGGGACCGAGCACGATCCGGCCGGCTTGAAGTCGTCCGGCGACCCCCCTGCGCTCACGCCCGTGAACTCCACATCGTAGCCCGTGTTGTCGTAGGCCCAGTAGGAGCATGCCCGGAGCGGCTCCTGACGCGTGTCGTTGGTCACCCACACACGGCGTACCCAGTTGTTGGGCGACCGGTACTCCCAGAGCTGGGCCGGGCGGCCGTCGGACATACGTACGAGGCCCGCGAACGAGGTCCCCTTGATGGCGTCCTGGAGTACGTCAAAGTACTCGAGGTGGCCGCGGCTGCTGCCACAGAAGCCCCACCAGGTGAGCCACGCGTAGGTCTCGTTCTTGGCGAAGAGCATGAGAACGGTCTGGTCGAAGTAGTCCTGGCGGCCGACCACCTTCGAGGCCTGGAACACGTTGCTCTGGAAGATGACTC